GTACTTATAATGTGCTTATTCAAACCAAAGGCACGTACTGGGATTCGAACCATGACCATTCTAAAGAAAAGCAAGGATAATAACCAATCACACTAAGCACATTTGTGGTATCTTTTTAAATTAAAAACATATAATAGCAGGGAGGAAAAAACCCTTCCCCCATTTCAAATTCCCTGCTCCATGAGCGTTTGTAGGAAGGGTAGAATAGGAAGTGTCAATTTTTTTCTCTTTCCTCTGTGGAACGGGCCAACTTACCGTACACATGCGAATTTAAACAGGTCCAGGAGTGTCAATTTTTTTTCTTTAAGCCCTTTTATTTCTCCGTGGTGATAAAATATATATGAAATGACAAAAATAATACTCTTTTTATTGTTAAAAATAAAAAATTTAACAATAAACTAATGCATGGTATCTAATAGGCTAACTGCTAACCATCAAATAAAAGAGTTGAATGGGCCTGACCTACATGGGATTTGGCCATCAAGTAAAACAAATGAACATCATTGGTTTGTCATTCTAAAACAAGCTAATTTCTCTGGCATAATATATATTATGCTATTATTTTATATCTTAGTGGCTAAAATATAATGTATTTTAAAGTTATTCAATGGTTCAACCTCGACCAACACAATAATTCAATTTTTATCATTTCAAATATATATTTTGTAATTATTTGATATCATAATGATCAAATTATAGTGTATTTTATAGGGAATCGTTTGGTACTTGTTAGTAAAAAACTAAACATAAAGATCTATTTGGTTATTTTAAACATTATAACGATCCTAAACATTTTCAGTTCCTTTTGAATTTCTATGGTTTTATTCCAGAATAAGTGATGTGCAAATGGCGAATTGTAGTCGTCTCTTTTCTTTCACTATTTTTTTATTTTCAAATAGAAAGTTTAAAAGTAAAGAATAATTAGAATTTGGCATGGGTCGGTCAAATAGGCTGAATTTCAAGTTTTGGCCCGTTTGTTTTATGCATTGCAAATTTATTAGCATGTTGATGGAAATGGCTTGGAAAAAGACATATAAGTTATACCTTTGCAGAAATGTCCTCAAATGTTTGAATGCTTTGTGAATCAGGTTCCGTGACTTTTGTGATGGTGTATGTGCTTGACGATTGCTCGATGTTGTAACTGCTTAATTTGAGAGTAAATCTTTTGATTTTCCCTATGAGTTGTGATACCAATTCTGGTGGTTGCAGCATGTTGTTGTTGTTGGCCTGTAAAAGTTGTTCCGCCGTGGTGCTAAATACCTTTCTTTCTTTTTTAACAAATTGTGTGGTAGTGCTATGAAACAGACCACCCATGAATGCTACTCTTATTATGGTCTGTTCTTACTTCCGGTGGTGAGAAATTGTGAATTGAGAATCATATTCGCCTACCGCACTGTGTCTGGCTGGTGGGTGCTTATTGTGCTCTCTAGAGTTATGAAACAGACTACCCATGAACGTTACCCTTAAGAGTCCATAACTTTGAGAAAAACCAAATTTAGGAAATCAAAGGTGTTGGATGTGTGATGATTTTTTATGGCTTAATTGTTTGTGAATTGGATATCCTATCTTTGTATGATTAGAGGGGATGTTTGCTTAATAGAATAATCCATTTTAATTCAATTTTATTTTTAACATGAACTTTAGTAACTCAAAACCTTCTGAGACACATATCACCTACTGCATTGTATCATTTTGTATGGGTGCTTGCTGTGTTGTCAAACTTCTTTGCTGCTGCTGCTTTTACACTAACAGGGGAGTTAAGAACCCATGAATGTTTCTGTTTGACACAAACAGGAGGACTTGCTTCTAAATCATGCACTAAAGATGATTGGAGGAAACATCTCTATTGCAGTTGATATACTGGAGACCAGAACAAAAGCAATGTATAACATCAAAACCAACCATCTAAACTATTAACATTGTTGCCTTACTCTTTTTTCGTGGTTGAGTCTCCTTCAAAAAAATTAGTTTGATTTTAGAAAATTTTGCTTCTGCAGTCCTGTCTTGCCACCAACGCGTTCATTAGATGGAGATGGCAGAGGCGAAGGCTATTTTTGTGTTGTTGTTGCTGGTTTAGGGATCGGTTTGTGAAGAAGAGGGAGAAGAGAGGGGGAAAGGGAAATGCATGAGAGGGGGGTAACTCTTTTCTCTGACAAAAATGGTGTGAAGAAAGGAATTATGATCAGTAAGGATATGGTTATCTTACATAACGGTCTCTATTCTGTTTGAATTGAGCTTGGGAGGCAGTGATAACTGATAAGGACGAGCTGCAACCAATTCATAGTGAGAAGAGAGCTATGAACCGTGATCATGTCTTAATTCAAGTTAGAAGGTAGTTTCAGTATAAGGATTATTTAATTTGACAAGTTGTTTTGTCCATGATTCTTGGTAGTTTCAGTGCCATTCTAGCCATTGTTTAGTCTGTAATTTTTGAGAATTGATGTGCGAGTAATGACTTTCACTTAGCTTCAACTATTATGTGTGTATTTATTGGCATGTGATAGAATTCTCTTTTCCTTTTCTTTGAATTCAGTTTCATACTCTAATTGTATCATTTGTACATAGGCAAATCATGCTCGAGATGACAACTCGCTGATATGGCTGGTGCAAGGAACGAAGCCATCATTAGAATTCAGACCGACAACGGGGAGGGATGCCCAGGACTAATTCAATGATGATTGATGATGGTATAATAAAAACTGCAGTCTGCATCAGCACCAATTTCTAGGCCTAAGTAAAGTTATTCAACCAGAACTCTGCTTAGCGCTAAAAATTGCCCTCACCCAACCTTGATCCTGTTTGACCCACTTCTGAAGATTCAAGATATATGACTAATCCTCTCCGTTCGTATTTTCTTATTGACTCTTTCTGACCCTTTAGGTTGGGGCGGGTCGGGAAGAATCGGATTAGTGGGTCGGTCCTAATCAAGTGGAATCCCAATCCCTTCACTCTCACTTGCTTTCTCTCCTATTCCACAAGTGGGTAACATACAGTAATCCGGCCAACGGGCCGGGTAATAGACTAGTAATCCTTCTAAAGGTTGTTGTTGTGTTGGGCTAACTACTAATTGCTGTCAACTTAAGTACCAACTGTCGCTAACAAACTATTAATTGTCGTTACTAATTAAAAATGCTATTATCTATCGGTCAGTGTGTCTAGAAGTTCAACAGAGTAAAAGTTTTAACCACCTAATTATAGCTTATGCTAACTAGAGCTAGAACTTTTGACTAAAAAAAAGTAGAGCTAGAACAAAAATTCGATAGAACAACCTAAAAGCAAGGACAATCAAAGAAATAGGTGCGAGTTCAACATCGGCTATACCCAGTGCTCATTGGCTCCGTTGGCCGGATTGTTGAATGAAGAAGAATAGGTTGCATTTGTAAGAATGGAGAAATCGTGAAAGGAGTAAGGAAGAAAGGAGAGGAAGGAGACATAGGGACAAATTTGGGGGGAGGGGAAATGGGGAAAATGTGGTAATGTCAAATTACTAGAGATTTTTCAATAATAGCACCTATTAAAAAAATTAAAAAGTAGCATCCAGCCTACAACATTTACAAAAATAGCACTATTTTTATCAAACCGCACCTCCAAGGTGTGTTTTATAACTAAACCGCACCCTACAGGTGTGTTTTAGTCCACGTCAGACTGGAAACCGCACCTTGGAAATGCGGTCTGTGTTTGGTGGGCAGCGGCCTTGGAGACCGCAGGATGAGGAAGCGATCCAGCGGCGGATCGCTTGCCACCTCAGCGATCCTTGCCACGGATCGAAGACCGCAGCGCCAGGGAGCGTTCAAGCCTCGGGAAGCGTAGACCACATCGGAAGGGAGCGGTTTTCGCTCTGGCAAAATTACCAGACCTCCCCTGGAGGGTGCTGTCTGATGGGTATAAATACCCCCTCTCCCCCCCCCCCCTCTCATTTTTTCACACCACAACCATTCTCCACTCTCTCTCTCTAGAATTATCTCTCTAACCCCTCCCCTCCCAAAAGCCTAGGAAATAGTGGTATGTTGGTTGCGGCTAAGTCCGATCTGCCATCAGAAAATATTTCTTTGGTTTTTTCCTCAAAAACCCGCCGAATTTCTGTCAGACTTTCGCGAAAAATGGACGAGTGGTTCCAAGGAGAGGGAGTTTATTATGATGAATTTCAAGCGGTACGTACTCATTATTTTGGTCAATTTTTGTTTTGTTATAAGCTTTTTACTTAACTATGTACTAACCTTGTTGTTATTCTCTCGTAGGTTGGGGACGACGTGAATATATACAACCAATGGTACTATTTGGATCAAGGGCCTATTGATCCGACGACTTGTATGACCAATCCAACCATCGTTCAAGGGATGTTTGGAACGATCACCCAGTACATACAATTCTTCATCATTTATCTTTCTTTTTATTTTGCTAATGTACTTAGTGGAATATAAAATAAATTTGAAATAATTTAATTGTATTGGTTGTTTTCAATAATTAAATCGAATACATAGCGTCACTTACTTCGACTCTTTATGAAGAGATGCACGTCTAAGGAAATGGGGTTTTAAGCGATTATCATGATCCTCCCATTTCATGGGAAAATCGGGTATTAAGAGATCCTCGGATCCCCCCTTTTTCTGTCAAAAAGGCTGTGTTTCTAAGAAGATGTATACCTCTTCTAAGAGTCTAACGAGTGTTGCATTGTATTCGATTAAATTATTTAAAACAACCAATACGATTAAATTACTTACCAAACAACCAATACGATTTATGTTTATGTGTACTTAAATGAATTTATTAATTTCAAATGTTTAAATATGTATGTATCTCTTTAAATTATTATTCATTTAGAATGTTATTTATGTTAAATAATTCAGTATGTTTGTTTTATGATAATATGTATATATCTTAGAAAATCGTAAATTACTTAACTTTGATTGTTAATAATATAATTATAATAGAATTATATTCGAAATTAAATCATTAATTTTAATTAATTTAGTTATAAAACTAAACTATTACTAATATATAATAAATAATAGTAATAATGGTTGAAATTAAATCATTAATTTTAATTTATTTAGTTATAAGACTAAACTGAAAACGTTGAAATTTTTGCTAGGAGGCACAACATATAATATACTACAGGAGTACGACCAATGTGCTCCCATGGAACCCAGTTATCTTGCCATATCTCAAAAGGGGACGGTTGGAGTCTATTAGGCATTTTCTAGGCATAAAAGTCAATCGCCAACTCATCACCGCATTGGTGGAGAGATGGAGAAAGGAGACACATTGTTTAAACTTTCGCGAAGGAGAGTGCACCATCACACTCAAGGACGTCGCCATCCTAACTCATCTGCCTATCGACGGTAAAGCGGTGTGTGAGTGATCACCCCCCCCCCCCCCCCCGAGGATCGTGTCGGTATGACCGGTTGGCAGTATTTCATCCACAGTGTTTTGGGGGTGAAAGTACCAACCAAGGGGAGCGTTGATGCGACGGATCGCTTGCCACCATTGAGGAAAGGCCAAGTATCAATCACTTGGTTGACGAAGTATTTTAGGGATCATCACGATCCTGAAAAAGATGGGGTGCCCCTAACCGAGGAAAGTCCGGAGCTGGAGAAGGAAAGATATACTCGTTTCTATCTCATAGGCATGATAGGAGGAGTATTCTCCAAAAAAACGAGCAATTTAATTAGCTGTGGATGGTTTAGGATCCTCCTTGGTAGTTGGGATGCGATGGGGGCGTTGAGCTGGGCATCCGCTTGCCTAGCTAATATCTACCACCATTTGTGCAACGCATCTCTCAAAGTTGTGAGGGAGGTCGGCGGCGCAATGTTCATCGTCCAGTATTGAGCTTGGGAGCATCTTCCATGGGTTGCACCGCTCCAATGTCCCGACAGAAATTGGGGTCTCGATCATCCCTTAAGACTCGAAGCTTATGGTTGTAGGTAAATTTCTCATACCCCATCATGATTTTAATAAACTATGTCGACTACTCTTCCGATTGTCATGCTCTAGTATTTCTGTGACTTCAATGGCAGAGATTGGCAGCGCCCGAACACCCTTGTAGGCAGAATTGATACTCTCTGATGAGTTCGTTGTGGCCATACCCCACCTTGTACCTCCGTCTTTATGAAATGTCCACATGGATAGGTCGTGTCCATCCAGCCACTGTGCCTCTTCAGGGCATAACTCGCGCATCTTCTGCAACTTCTCCTGGAATTTTTTTCTCCTGGTATGCAACAGCCGAGGTCATCACAATCAAGTATTACGTTAGTAATAATTCGGCAATTTATTACAATTCGAACAACAAGCAGGTACTCTCGTTAGACTCTTAGGAGAGGTTGACATCTCCTTAGAAATGCAGCCTTTTTGACAGAAAAGGGAGGATCCAAGGATCACTTAAAACCCGATTTTCCCAGGAAATGGGAGGACCATGATAATCGCTTAAAACCCCATTTCCTTAGGCCGCATCTTTTTAGAAAGAGTCTAACAAGTGTACCATTTATTTTATATAAGATATTGTTCTTCTCCAAAATTAAACAACCAATGGAGAGCTTACCAATCCACCACAAATTATCAGCAAGCTTCTTTCGCTTGAAATGATGGTTCCGGTTGCTCTTGAAGTGTCGTATGCACTACCTTTGGATCCACTTCCAGGCTGGATCCAAACCTAAGATGGCAGCTCTAATCCCGGCGTGCCGATCAGAGATTATTGTCAGGTTCGTCCTCCTAGTGACGTGGAGCTGAATTTGCCGGAAAAACCATCCATAGCTATCAGTATTCTCTCCTTCAACAATGGCGAAGGCTAACGGAAAGACTTGTTTGTTTGCATCCGCCCCACTGGCAATCAGTAGAGTGCCCTTGTACTTGCCGGTAAGGAATGTACCATCCACTTGGATCACAGGGACACAGAAGCCAAAATCATCAATAGATGGCTTGAATGCCCAAAAAAGTCATCTGAAATGGCGTTTGTTACCTGGATCTGGCGGTTGTACCTCTTCATCTTGGTAGCGAGGGGAGAAAACAGTGATAGGGTTAGACGCTTCCAGTGTCAAAATCAACCTGGGAAGGAATGCATATGATTCTTCCCAATCACCATATACCGCGGCCAAAGCTTTCTGCTTTCCATGTCACGCCTTCTTATAGTTAATCATATAACCATAACGACTTGCAATGTCAGTGATTATAACTTTCACCTTCAGGTCAGGATCTTGCTCAATTAGATGCTTGATAGCCGCAGCAACCACCCTGGATTTCAACTGTCGATGGCCTTGGGATGTTATGGATGACACACATGTGTGTGTTCACCGCACGGGATATGACCTAATGGTCGTCTCTCTTGCTGTTGATGGCCTGAATCCTAACATTGCATCCCTTGTTATGATTACGACATCTGACTATGAGCCTTTTTATGTTGGAATGAGTTGTGTGCCATTCAAAATGCCGAGTCATTGCTTCAATATCAATGGCGTGCCGCACCTCCTTCTTCGAGCCAAATTGTTGGCCCTTCATAAACCCAGGGAGTGGACCCCATATTGGAACCTCCGGCTGTTCCATGTCGCTGTCGACCATCCAATTGTCGTCTGCAATGTGATTGTAGTATGGGACTGGTACACGGTCATGAGCCACCTCATCATCATTATCTGAGTCTGACTCTGGTCCTAAATCATCAGCACCTTCAAGAGGGTCGGAGCTGTCTGCACTGACGTTGTTCTCTCCTTCTTCATCAAAGGGGTCACTGACTGGTGCTGGCAGGGCATCTTCCATCTGATCAAGCTCATGAAAGGCACCTTCATCAGCTCCATAATGGTAGTTGTGAAAACTACCACTGCCTGATTGGAAGTTGTACTGGGGTTGGTTGGCATGGTCCGGTTGAACTTCTTCATATGACGGGTAAGATTGATGATGACCTTCACCTTGCTCTTGGTACTGAAAATAGGAATGAGGATCATGGTAACTTTGGTAGGGATGATCTTCATATAATTCACCTCCACCATGGATACCAGATGTTTGACCGTCTCCAGAATGACCTCCAACGCCTACGACCGGCTCGGTGTAAACGAACATCTCGGTTCTGGAAAGATTGTTGGACCTCAAGAATTCGAGCATGGCATCTACCTCATCCTGAGTGGTTATGAGATATTCCTCGTGCCACAACGACCCACCTTCTCTGTTTGGATATCGGTACACCATACGATCAACTCTTCTCGTGCCATCCATGCAAGTAACGTTAGTACACATTTGATAGAGGTCTTCAAGCATCGGTCTGATAGTGACCTTTATTTTCTGAAAATTGCCACCGACGTAGGTGACCCCCTTTCCGCTCTCTTTCGTGTAACCATTCCACCGTAAACCAAGCGTGAACTTTTGGAATGTCATCTGCAAAAAAACAGTAGTTCAACTAATATCATAAAAATCACAAATCACAATTCACAATAAAAAGTAATACAAAATAAACTTACGAGTTAACGTTAACTGCAAAAACACTAGAGAAATAGGGAGCTACAATAGAAAATTGAAAAGGGAGAATGAGAGGTGTGAAGAGAAGAAGATTTCCCGGGCTGCCTTTTATAGGCAAAATCATCAATGAAAACCGCACCTTAGAGGTGCGTTTTTCATCTGCCATGCAGCCCCACGTCTGTAAATCTGCATGGCTGCATGTCTGGTGTCGGAAAATAATTGACACACAAACCGCATTGGGGGGTGCGGTTTGTGTTGCCAAAACCGCACCTTGAGGGTGCGGTTTGTTTTGCTAGGTCAGGCCTAGACCGCATCTGGGCCATGCGGTTTGGTTAGATCAGACCGCAAACCGCATGGCCAAGATGCATTTTTGGCCCAGAAAACTAAAACGCACCAGGGGGTGCGGTTTTTAAAAAAATGTGTTCTTTTTGTAATTTCTACGGAATGGGTGCTATTTTTGTAATTTTTTTAAAGGTGCTATTTCTGGAAAAATCCCAAATTACTAAGGGGATGGGTGGTATTCTCAATTACCATGAATGTGGTGATTGAAACCAATTTTCATGCCCCAATTCTCATATCTTAGGGTCGTTTGGATGGGTTAATTGTCAATGTGGTATTTGTAGATTCAATTAACTCATTTATTGTTCATGTGGTATTTCTATGTTATTTCAGTGGTAATTGAAATAAAGTATATCGTTTGGTTGAATCATGCAAATGTGGTATTTGACATGTGGTATTTGGTCAAATAACTTGTTTTGAGTTATTTGTAAATAACTCACTGTCCAAATAATTCATTTCAGTAAAATGTTGTCAAACGAATTATTTGTGTCCAAATAACTCATTGTGAGTTATTTGAACCCAAATAACTCACAAATAATCCATAAATATTGATGGAACATTACACTGTAGTACCAAAAATTTTCTGTATTGCATCTTAGTACCTGAACTTTTGAAGTTCTACAAATAGGTCTAATTTTTGTATGTGTAATTAAAACACACTCGAATAAATGGATATCCATACCAACTCATACACATTTAGATTACGAAAGTAAATATTCATACCCTACCCAAACCCATCTACAAACTTTCAAACCCATATATATGTCACCCATACCCTACCTATAATCAATGAGTCAACTTGGGTTTAGGTAAATATTATTTATTAGCCAAAATTTTCTAAAATTTAAATTGGATGTTGGCCACTACATATCTATTCTCAGTCAATATCATATTGTCAAGTCGATATTACTAACAAAATTGCTAACAAAAAATCAAATTTAGGCTAATAATACTAACAAAATAGCATAACAGGCCACAGAATACATTCCCGACTTATCAATTTATCCGGTAAACTGCTGGGAGCTCATGTAGCTCATGCTGGATTGATCGTATTCTGGGCTGGAGCAATGAACCTATTTGAAGTGGCTCATTTCGTACCGGAGAAGCTAATGTTTGAACAAGGATTAATTTTACTTCCCCACCTAGCTACTCTGGGTTGGGGGGTAGGACCCGGCGGAGAAGTTATAGACACCTTTCCATACTTTATCTCTGGCGTACTTCACTTTCCTCTGCAATATTGGGGTTTGGTGGTATTTATCATGCACTTCTGGGACCCGAGACTCTTGAAGAATATTTTCCTTTTTTTGGTTATGTATGGAAAGATAGAAATAAAATGACAACAATTTTAGGTATTCCTTTAATTTTGCTAGGTATAGGCGCTTTTCTTCGAGTATTCAAGGCTCTTTTTTTGTGGGCGTATATGATACCTGGAAATAAGAATCTTTTTTTGGGGGCGTATATGATACCTAGTCTTTCGACCCAAGAAAATAAATTTTCCACAACCCCCTCTTGGGTCGAAGAGTAGGAAGACGAATAAAATAATACCTCCTAGAATCCCTCCCCCCTCCCAATTCAGCCCTTTTTTTTGCGCTTATTTATCTTATATGGTAATTTTATACTTCGAGTAAAAAAGCTATTGATACATTCTATGCTAGTTAAATCTGACAACGGTCCTATAATCACACTGCTCCAAAAAAAATTTTGGGTGAAGCCAAATACTTTTCTTACCAATATATATACTATGACGAAAAATTATGGTACAGGTAATTCAAAAAATCTTATATAGATAGAAAATAATAGAAAGAAATGCAAAAGTCTTATTAACTTAACAATTTTTTATCATACAGAATTTCCAACAAAAAAGATTCTTTTTCAAAACTGAGTGTTGATAAATCTGCAGATCTAGAAATTCATTTTTGACAATTGAACCTTCTCAAATTGTTTATTTTTAAGAACTAAAAAGATTTGATTCAAATTTAAAAGTAAGAATTTGGAAATTTTTTTATGAATGAATGGAAAACCGGGTTAATAAATCATTATCAATATAAATACAATTTATCAAAAATTAAATGGTCTAAACTAATATCCCATAAGCCATCTCCGTCTACGACAAATCGTGGCATCGCCATCTAGTGTAGCAATAAAGTTCATGAAGGGTCATGAAGTGTTACCGCAAGGACCATGAAGAATAAGTAGGTGATTTGACGGAATAATTATAATTTTTCCACAAGGTTTATAGATGGGGCGGTTGTGACAGAGTGGATTATCAGCAGTATCCATATATGTCATGTTCTGTCTGCGGATCGGGTCAGGATCCATCTCGTTCTAGTGCGGGTCAAATTTTATTCCTCATCAAGGAACAAAGAGGTCTGAATGGTCATCCCTATACCAGCGTATATCATAACTTACACAGTCAGATCGTTTACTAGTATGTTTCCTATCCATGAATTATATACCATTTGTAAGGCTTATATGTTGTTCTAGATATCTAGGGGCTAAAAACGCACAACTAAGCACGTTATAAAGTGATATAAAATTCATAATTAATCTTCTTCTAATAACTTGATTTATCGGGAGAAAATTAATTGAGGATCTTACCATTAAGTAGGTTTGTTAGTTTGGTTTGGTTTTGTTAATCAAATTATTTAAATATGAAAATCAAAAAATAAAATCAGACAAATTCCCCAAAATCAAAACCAACCATTGAGGGTCTTATTGGTTATTGGTTAACGAACCGACAAGACCACTAACGGCTTTGGTTTGGTTTGGATAAACCAAAACTCAAACCCATAGTTCGGTAAGCCCAAAATAGAGTACAAAAAATAACAAGAAGCATGAAAATAGCAAAGGAGAATACACACATGATATGTTAGTGACACACGTATTGTTGATGTGCATTGTCTTAGTTAGAATGTTTCCGATTTTTTTATTGGTTTCTTATTGATTTTTCGGTTTTAAGTGAATTATAAATCATTAAGACGCTAAACTGTTTAGAACCGAAATCACTAAACTTCATATTAGTTTGGTTTCGGTTAAAAAAGAAAAAACCAAAACTAAATGGACAGCCTACCTGAAACTTATAAGCATGAATGCATGATAGTGGAGTGGTACAAACTTTAACTGTTAGCAAACGATATATGATCCACGATTGAATCTCTCCCAACAACTCGAGTTATGTGGATCAACTGGTTTTTGACATGGTATCAGAGCCTTCTGTGACCGTGAGGTCTTCTGTTCGATTCCCGGTGACCCCCATCTGTTTCTGTTAAGCACACGGTGTCCGGACCTGTGCCTGCCCAAACTCCAAGCCTATCTGAATGGCTTGAGTTTGAAGGGGGGTGTTAGCAAACGATATATGATCCACGATTGAACCTCTCCAACAATTCGAGTTATTTGGATCAACTGGTTCTTGACAATCACTTGGTAATAATTTCCCATGCACAAGCAAATATCACTTTGGGAGGTGACTCTTTTGGCTGTTGTCAGTGAGAATTTACAAGGAAAGGGTAAAAGGAAAACCTGCTAGCCAGGTGCGTCTTTCTTTTCCAAAGATATTGGTAACGTTGCTAAAGGCTTGGAGCCGTAAAGAAAGAAAAAAAAAGGGGCTGGACTCACAGAAGGTGCTTCGTTTTAGCCAACACAACACTAGCTGGTCACATTGATGAACAGCACATTTGTATATGTAAGATAGCAAAGGTATCTTCATAGAATGTGCATGCCACTTAACATAGAAAGATCGCAAAGCTATCTTCACGCGAGCTGAAAATGATAAATATTTTGAAGTACTCGGCTTATATATATTGTGTTCGCATATATATGCTCATGATGCGAATTTTGTCTCATCTTTTTTCTATATTAGCAATTTTTTAACTGATATATCTCAGAAAACTACGTACGTCTATGTATAATTTCAAATGATTATTTTGTGTTCAAAATTACTCAAGGTGATGTATAGCAGTTTAAAATTTTCTATCATGTTGACGAGTACGTGTAGATCGATGTTGGTGCATATATACTTAAAAGTTGTTGAATCACTCTTTCAACTATGAACTTGCCAGCTCCATCGCAACAACATCAGATCTAGCAAATATTTGCATCATGCATAATTTTCCCAAGAATGAAGAGGGGTCTTGTTCAAATCATTGGGTTGGGCAAAAGATTACAAAAATTAACAACTGTGACGCATGGTTGGGGTCCGTCGTTTCTTTCTTTCTTTCTGGAAAAGCTGAAGTCGACCACCCTGACCCTACAAAACCGACCATTTGCCTCACTTTCTTTGAATTCTTCCTTTCCTCCCCACCTTTAATTTTCTTGTGTTCCTTCTTCCAAAGGAAATGGAGAACGTACGTACACTTTATAATGTTACTGGATTATACATAATCGAATTCTTCCAAAATAAATATATTTTGATTTATTTTCCATCCTATAACTCATTCTAACTATGAAAAAAGTGAATCGAAATTAAATTTTGATTTGAACTAATTAATCGAAGCAAATGAACCAAACATGTTTTTGTCCAGCTTTTATCCTCGGGTTTTCTTTGAGTTCCATCCGGTCATATCACGATTCGGAAGAAGCAATAGGACTCCAACTGCACCTTTTGAACCGGAAGTAGCAGAACATTTTCCCCATAGTTGTTACATATTAGTGCAGGCAAGAAAATGTTTCCTATAGCCTATAGGTGAGTGGTTTCAATTCACACAGTGTCTACACATGACCTAACTATATACTGACATAATAAT